TGAGCTAGGATGGACACGTTGTCCCAGTTAAACTGATGGCCTTCATTGTCCAAGTGCAGTGAGGTGAGGGAAAGTTCATCGTTTTGCTGTTTTGCTGCTAGCTGGTGTTCATGTATCCTGATGGCTAGTTTCCTTCCGGTCTGGCCAATGGAATGTTAGTTGCAGTCATTGCAAGGCATTTTGTAAACTACATTGGTCATGCATGTCATGAGTATTGGGTCTTTGTTCCTTGTGAGTGTTTGTCGTAGTGTGGCTGTGAGTTTGTGTGCTACCATGATTCCTAGTGGTTGTAAGAGTCTTGATGTCAGTTCTGATATGTTCTTGATATAGGGAAGTGTGGCCAGTGTATTGGGACGTACTGTGTCCTCTTGTCATTGACTTTCTTGTAGGCACCTGAAGACGAAGATGTTGGGATATCCATTGTTAGCAAAGACCTTGTGTAGGTGCTCTTTTTCCTTCTTGTGGAGTTCTGGCACGTTGCAGTGAGTTGTGACCTATTTGAATAGTGCCCTAACACAGCTTTGTTTGTGGACATTGGGATGATTGCTGTGGAAATTGAGGCGCATGACTGTCATTATGAACAAACCAGACTACATCGAGGAAGCACAGGCACTGCTTGCAGATGCACACACTTACCAACAGGTGGAGATAGACCCAACACCACAGCTAGCAAACAGGATCACCCAAACACTGAATAAAATTAAAAATGCAGGACAAATAACCAAGACAGATTACATGAAAATGAAACCAGAAGGTGCGAACACCCCCCGCTTCTATGGACTACCCAAAGTACATAAACCAGACATCCCCCTCAGACCCATTGGCTCCTGACCAGGCATACCTACACAAAAACTGAAACACCAGGTCAATGGATCATCTCACTCCATCCATTCAACCCAGGAATTCCTTAGCAAGCTGAAGAACATTAAAATCCTTTTGTATCACAGCACTATTCATATCCATTGACATACCATCAGCCAAAGAAACACTTGTTACATTACTGGATGCAGCAGAAACGCTGACTCCATCAGCAACGACAACATACTCAGACTACTGGACCTGTGCCTCACTACACACTTCATCTTTAATGACCAAGTATACAAACAAATCAATGGCACACTTATGGGGTCACCCATCTCAGGACTTATTGTAGAGGCAGTCATGGGAATGCACTACCCTCCTCCTCATACAGCCAAAACTGTGGATCCGATATGTGGATGAAAACGTTTGACTTCATTAAATGCACCAAGTTAGATGAGACACACCATCACATCAACAACGTTTTCACTGGGATCAAATTTTTGAGAGAAGAGGACGTCAGCAATCAACTTCCGTTTCTAGACATCAGGGTAGAACGATTGACCAATGGGGAGTTCCAAACCACAGTATATACGAAGGCAATCTACACTGACCAAATCCTCAATTTCCACAGCCATCACCTCAACGTCTACAAACAAAGCTGTATTAGGACACTATTCAAATAGGTCACAACTCACTGCAACATGTCAGAACTACACAAGATGGAGGAAAAGCACCTATACAAGGTCTTTGCGAACAACGGATATCTGCAGGTGCCTACAAGGAAGTCAATGCCAAAAGGACACAGTAGGCCCCAATACACTGGCCACACTATTCTATATCAAGAACATTTCAGAACTGACAACAAGACTCCTATTACCACTAGGACTCATGATAGCACACAAACCCACAGCCACAATATGACAAACACTCACAAGGACCAAATACCCAATTCCCATGAACATGCAGGACCAACGTAGTTTACAAAATGCCTTGCAATGACTGCAACAAACATTATATCAGCCCAACTGGAAGGAAACTAGCCATCAGGATACATGGACACCAGTCAGCAGCAAAACGACATGACAAACGTTCCCTCATCTCAGTGCACTTGGACAATGAAGGCCATCAATTTAACTGGGACAACATGCCCATTCTAGCTCAAGCCAACCACAGACATGCATGAGAATTCCTGGAGGCTTGGTTTTCAACCTGTAATGCTATCAACAAACATGTGGAATTAGACCCCATTAAACCCATGCAGAACAAAACCGGAAATGACACATTCCAATTTAACAGGTTGTATCATATAAATTCCAAGCGGAGTAGAACAACATTGCTTCATCGGAGGCCACACGGATGATGTCACTTAGCATGGTGATGAAACATCTGTATGATAACCAGCCAGCTCGGCGAGCAAGCCAACAACCTTACCCACAACCCGAGCTACAGGTTCCAATCTCAGCGTCCCTTGCAAAATCACATAACTAAAGGATCAAGGACAGAATTGTCCCTGGGCTATTTATACTGCCACAGAGGACCTTTCTACCTACTTCTCAGTCTACCATGATATAAATCATTTAAAAGGTCATGGCTGATCTACCAAGGATGAACTCTGTCTTTATTCTCCAACAGAAGGACAAAAAATTGGCTAAAAATCAAAATTCATTGATGCTCCATTGGGAGAGATTTCTAATTGGGAGAAAAAGGCAAATAACCTTAAAGGAGATCTGGTCCTCTTCATCTAAAATGAATTTCAGTGAAATTTCTACCACTGTCCCATAGATTGGTATTAACTGACAAGACAGAAAGCAAAATATAGCTGCCCACCTCCTCCTTGCCTCTATTTATATAGGCATATTGATCTGGTAACCTGTATCTCTCTGTCAAAGGACAGAGATAATCGTAAATTGGTAGACCCCCACTCAATAGTTCTTCAACCTTAACTTTAAATCCTTGTCAATTAGTAAGGAATATCCAGCCCCTACAATGATTAGTTGGAATCAGTGCATTCTGTTACTCACAGCAACACAGCCATTTGTGTTTTCAAAGCAGTAAAAGACAAGGGCAGAAAAATATTGAGGTATTAAGTTATTTTCAATATTGTATCAGTAACAGAGGAAAGGAGTGGTCATTTTAGTGAGAAATTTCTAAATAATGGTCATCAAATATTCTCATTATTTGTATACAGCAACAATGCCATTACACAGAAGTAAAACCAGTGGAAAACTAGATAGGGTTTCTTTAATTAATTATCAAATGCATATTTGGGGAATTTTATTCTAATTCAAGAATTACCCATTTTACACAGTCTTCTAATATTACAGTTACCTCCATTTATTCCACTCAGCTTTAAAGTTTGTACTCAATCTCAGCAGTGCTATAATGGGGAAGTTGAGAGCGAAAATTACTGGGAGGGAAGACAAATGACAATGGATTTGGGCTGACCTGCCACTCCTTCAATTAGTCAGTGTAAGAGCAGGAATGACAGGAGACAGAAACAAAATTCCAGTATTTGCTCCCCTGGAGAAGATAGTGGTGGAGGTGTAGACAAAAAAGGGGGAAAGTAATCACTAATATAATTTGACTGCTCATAAGATAAGACTTTAAGCACAAATTCTGTCTACACTAAATGATGTAAATCAATAATTGTACAGATCATTGTGGGGTTAATAACATATTCACTCAGACAAAGCATACTTCAGTTTTGCTTTACAGTTTTTATCTAAATGTCAAATTCACTGAAATAAAAAAAGCTAATTCCATTAACTTTTAATTCCGAACCATGCCACAACACGTATTAACAGAAGAATTTCATTATCACTTTTCAGAGCAAGTCAGTGCTGCCCACCCAGAAATGCATATGATATCATTGGCTTACCCATAATTTTGCAACATTATTGCACTAAAGAAAACAACAATATCAGGCATTAACTAGCCTTGCTGCATTAATAATTAAATTAAGGTGCAGATATACAGGTTGAAGTACAACAAAACAAAGATATTTATCTCATAACACGACAAGCTAAATGCCTTCTGCTAAAATATGATGTGCCAGAGTTTATGATGGTCACTCCCAAAACAGGAAGATCATTTTTGCTCTTTATTAAGCAGAACAACTTGATTAAAAAAAGGAAGAGTTGTAAGTATAGAATGCCTTTTCAGGACATTACAAAGTGCTTTGCAGTCAATAAAATACTTTTGAAATTCGTCACTATTTAAATTTAGGAAACGCAACAGTCAATTTGCACACAGCAAGATCTGAATTCAGAATCCAGATATTAATCTGTTAACTAACGTCAGCTCAGGGATGAACATTGATGAATTCTCCAGCTTCTCGAAGAATCCCTACAGTGTGGAAGCAGACCATTCAGCCCATTGAGTCTACACTGACCCTCCAAAAAGCATCCCACCCAGACCTGCCTCCCTACCCTATTCCTGTCTAACCCATCTAGTCAGCACATCCCTCGACACTATGGGCAATTTAGCATAGCCAGTCCACCTAACCTACACATCTTTGGACTGTAGGAGGAAGCTAGAGCACTCAGAAGAGACCCACACAGACACAGGGAGAAAGTGCAAATTCCATACAGTCACCTGAGGGTGGAATCAAATCCAGGTCCCTGGTATTGTGAGGCAATATGCTAACCACTAAGCCACCATGTCACCCTTCTCGTGGATCAGCGTCTGGCATCATTTCTGTTTATGTAAATAGAGCTGCAGTTTGAAATCACAATTGAGGGACAGAGGAATAGAGAGAAAAGCAAGTGTAAAGTGAAAGATTTTTCTATAGTGAGCTCTGAACAGGCATATTAATTTTGTATAGATAGGACTAGACCTCTGCACACATGTACTGACAAAAGCCAGACTTTGTTTTGCAGATGTAGAAATTATTGCTTTGTTTCATGGTTTTAGTGAAATTGGAATGATCACTGATACGTTGTGCAGATTTTAGTAGAAGGCATATCCTTTCCTTCCCTCCTTTAATCTCTGAAATTTGAAATGAGAAGAATGCAATTATAGTATAAATCATGCATGTTATATGGTTACTACAAATAAGGAAACAAAACTGTCAATCACTGTCCAAACAGGTTAAAACTACTTTCCTACTTATGTACCATAGTGTTAAATAAACGGTGTGCAATAGAAGGAAATATTAAAGTAAATAGCGTTGATCTTAGGAAAACAAAAATAGAACCTACTTGATGCGATTTTCATCAAGCTTTCGCAGAGCAGCGTCTCTTTTAAGGACTTGCTGAAGAGCTAACTGTTCTTCTTCTGACAGAAAGCTCAGGTCCACAATTTTTGTTAGATCCATCTCTGTTTTCATTTTCCAATATTCTGAATGAAATTCGGGTGAACTGAAGCCAGACCAAGTCAGAGAAAGTTTGCAACTTCGAGTAGCAGGGTGTCTGTCCTTTTTCTTTCAGCTGTTACACTGTTGGTGCATGCATCAAACTTTAAACCTCGGTTTTTCTTTTTGAGATTGTTCACAGACAACAAGAGGTTAAATCAGGTGTTTGCATTCTTTCAGGATCATGGAAGATATTCTGCCGCATTCACAATGTTAGATTTTCTGTCAGACATTTAGGTTCTTTCAGCAAGACTCTGTTGTCCCATGACAAGGTAAAGTATTGCAGGCTCTGGAGGAATAAAATGCAGGAAACAATGAGACGCTTCCTGTGTCATGTATTTTCTTTATGCAAATTAGGTTATTGCAGGAATGTAGGTCTGAGTTGCCTTACAGGTTTAGAACTCACAGTGGTTGTGATCATTGAAATGGATCATTTTAATTTTAAAGTACATTGAGCTGGTGAAACCAAGCAAACGTCAAGTGAATTACCTCTGAAAATTAGTCAGGTCTAAAAAGCGAACTGGGAAAAGATTTGGAAAGCTCTAATAAACTAAAAGTTAAGCATGAATGGATTTATTTCTCAAAAATGATTAGAAAGTGATGTATTTTAAAAATGCTGGGAGCAAATAGAAGGGTCAGTTTTTTTCAAAAGAGAAGTAACTGTATTTACTTTTCAAGTTGCATATGCCTTTATCTGCCTTCACCAGAAATTGTGATTGCACTAATTCAGATGGACTACAGCACAACTAGACACTTCATACCACCACCAGTTTGAGTTCTCCCAGCATTGCTACACACTCTAATGCATGTCTAGCAATGGTGACCAAGGGAAATAAACAAACATTGGTGTTTGGCTCTATCCAAACAAGCCAAAGGCATCTCTTACTTGAACCAGACTATACTTTAATGCATTTGAGGCACCAGAAAGGTCCAATAACTGAACCCCAATTCAACTTTGAGATAGTAAGAACTGCCATGCAGAGATAACACAGTGTGGAGCTGGAGGAACACAGCAGGCCAGGCAGCATCAGAGGAGCAGGAAAGTTGACGTTTTGAGTTGGGACCCTTCTTCAGAAATGGGGGAGGGGGGAGGTAACTCAGAAATAAGAGAGAGAAGGGGTGGAGCTGGGGTAGGTAGATGGGATGGTGATAGGTGAGTGCAGGTAGGGAGGGGTGGGGATTGGTCAGTGAGGTGGGACGGACGGATAGGTGGGAGAGAAGATGGACAGGTTGTGTCAGGTCAAGGAGGTGGAGATGAGAGGGAGGGTTGGTCATGGGATGAAGCCGGGGATGGGGAGATTTTGTAATTGGTAAAATCCACATTTAGGCCATTAGGCTGTAGACTCCCAAGGCGGAATATGAGGTGAAACTGGAGGAACAGCACCTCATATTCCATCTTGGGAGCCTACAGCCCAATGGTCTCAATGTGGACTTAACCAGTTTCAAAATCTCCCCATCCCCGGCCTCATCCCATGACCAACCCTCCCTCTCATCCCTGCCTCCTTGACCTGACACAACCTGTCCATCTTCTCTTCCACTTGTCCCCCTTATCCCACCTCACTGACCAATCCCCAACACTGCCTACTTGAACTCACCTGTCACCACCCCACCGACCTACCCAGCCCCACCCCTCCTCTCTCTATTTATTTCCCAGCTCCCTTCCCCCTCCCCCATTTCTGAAGAAGGGTCCCGACCGGAAACGTCAACTTTCCTGTTCCTCTGATGCTGCCTGGCCTGCTGCGTTCCTCCAGCTCCACACTGTGTTACCCCATTTAACTTCAGCAGGAAGAACTTAGAGAGTGGTCTTTCTAACCGTGCTTTGGTGGCAGCTGCCCCAAGCTTTAGTGCTTCCCTCAGGACATAGTCCTGGGCCTTGGAATGTGCCAGTCTGCAATACTTGGTCAAGATCAACTCCTTGCTCTGGAAGATCCACAAATTTCAAGCAGACCGAAGATCGTCTTTCACCAAGTTGACGGTCTTCCAGGTACAGTAGATGTTTGTCTACCAAACTATGCTTGAGACTATGTGTATACATATATATGTAAAGATACCTTTTATGAATAAAGCATATTTTGAAATTAAAGAAAAGGAAATGGTGATCAATGGAGAACCAGGAGGATCCACATCTATGTTGAGCAGCTGACAGGGACTCCTTCCAGCATCACAAATACTATAGGCTGAAATTTATATTATTTACTAAAACTGAAACTATATGATTTTGTTTAAGCTGGTCTGTATCACGCTTTTCGGAGGAATTCCACTGTGAGGCCTAATTAATTTTCTAATGGTATTTTACATCATTTGCCTCACTAACTAGTTACCCCATCCTTAAAGTATTAGTCACATCAGATTCCAGCCCCATCTTACTACTCACTGTTCCTGGAACAAGTTGCTATTCAATGAATGTCCTGGAATTCACTTGCATTCCCTGTGTCCACTTCCTTTTTTGAGAAGCTGTTATACACGCAGTAAAGTACTGGCAATCCAAAGCTGCACTCCACAGTTCCTGACATTTTTCCTTGGGCAAGGCAGATCAGGGAAATTGGCACCCGCTTTGTGGGCAGGGATCTAAATATCCAGCTGGAGGGGGGTGCTACAGACACATGACTTTCTCTTCCCCAGGACCAGCAATGGAGGCCATGGCACCAGACCTTGGTCTGATGTTGACACCCAGTCTCAACCACATGGAGGAATGCCCAGCACTGCTGGAAGAAGGTCAATGACCTTCTCCACTCCTGCAGAGTAAATACCACCACCCTGTCTTGCTCTCACACCACTAAACCTGCATGGCCTCCGTGCAGCTTAACAGCTCGCTTGGGACACCTCCCTATCTGCAAAAACTGTAACAGCAGTCACATTTTCATCTCCCTCAATTACTGCCCCTCTCTTTCATTCCAGGACAAACAACCCACATTAGGGCAGAAACACTGAAGCCAAGCGGTGAATAGCCCAACATTCAGCTTCTTGACCCTTATGAGGAGACGATCCTGGCTCTGATTACCCCGAGCAGTTGACTGACCATGTCTAAGCCTTTGGACTGTTATCGGTGGATACCCTTGACATACTTCTGACTGAAACCTGTTTTGACTGGATTAAGGCCTGCTGGGAAACATGACAAGCTTCTGGATTTGTATCTCCACTAAATGGCAATCCAAGACAGAAGTACTATAAGACTGGTATCTGAAGGCACATAGCACAAAAAAGCGAGGCAAGGTAGGTTTGCCATGAGCATCCAGGTAGGCTGAGAGAAAGTTAGCACTACAACAGCAAGTAAAGAGCCAGAGGCACATCCTGGCCCAATCCATGAGCTGTGTACATGTCCCTGAGCCTTCTTGCTGCAGCATTAAAATGATAGTTGCCGATGCAACTTTGAAGTGCAGAGGAGTTCTCTAAGTGGATTGGAGATGGGCCCAGAGTATGCTTAGAGTCTGGTAGATGTCAGATGCCAATTTCCTTGGGTGTAAGGTGCATGTGGCCTGTACCCATGGAGAGTGCCCTGAGATGTTGGTATCCAGTATCCAATATGGAGGTTCCTTCAGAAAAAGTGACAAATTGAAGCTGCCAAGTACTTGGTTTAGTTTCCATGTTGTGTTTTCTTGACTTCTATCTTGTTTGCAGTGTTTGATAAGGTAGGAAGCTGAAGAAAAATGAGACAAGCTGGACCATCAGCAAGGCATTTAACAAGCAATAATCCCCCTTAACTGACAACTCACTGCTGCCGAGCAAGGGACTCAGCACACTGCTTATCAAAGCTCAAAAGATGGAGTGAGATACTCCTGACCAGGTCAGCCTCATCAGACTTTGCATCCAATTCTGCCACACATCTTGCCATAGCTCATGTTGCTCAGACCCCTATAAGATTCTACTCTATTTCCTGGAAGGTTTGGAAATCTTATTTTGTTGTGTCTCCAGTTAACCATTTAAAGTTCACTGGTTGAGCTGTTTGAAGCCTGAAAATAGCAGTGCAAAGGAATTTATGGATCCCAGTCTGAAGCGTGATTTCAACGTTAAAATAAGGCTTGTGTTCATTTCACACAGTGGACCAGGACTATCTGAAATAAGACTTTAATAAAAACTACATAGGAACAGGAGTGAGCCATGCAGCCTATTGAGTCTGCTCTGCCATTCAAGGCCAATCATCGCCCCCAATTTCCCATATTGTCCCTATAGCCCATGATATCATCAATCTGTTGATTTCTATCTTGAACATTCTCAATGACTTAGCTTCCACAGCCCTCTGGGGTACAGCATTACAAAGATGAGTGAAGAAATTCCTCTTCATCTTGGGTTTAAATGATTTTCCTTTTATTCTGAGAATATTTTAGACTCACCATGAGGATTAGAATAGAATAGAATTAGGTTTATTGTCACATGTACTCAAATTACAAGAGAACAGGAGTAGAGTGAAAAGTGTACAATGTCACCAATACAAGGTGCCATCTTAGTTACAAAAAAGAGAAAATAAAGAAAAATGTTACACTACATTAAAGGAGTGCATTGTAGAAGTATAAGCTAGGAAAATAAGAAATAAAGCTAAAAAGATAACCAACAATCTTAACCCCTCCCACTCCCTGGGTGACATGTCCATCCTGGACCTCTTCCAGTGTCACAATGACACCACGCGCACACTGGAGGAGCAACACCTCATATTCTGCTTTGGGAGCCTACAGCCCGATGGCCTAAACATGGAATTCACCTGTTTTAAAATGTCCCCACCCCCCGGCCTCATCCCATGTCCAACCCTCCCTCTTATCCCTGCCTCCTTGACCTGACACAACCTGTCCATCTTCCCTCCCACCTTTCCACCCTCTCACCTCACTGACCAATCCCCACCATTGCCTACCTGCACTGACCTATCACCATCCCAACTATCTTCCCCATCCCCACCCCTCCTCTCCCTATTTATTTCCCAGCTCCCTTCCTCCTCCCCATTTCTGAAGAAGGATCCCAGTTCCTCCAGCTCCACACTGTATTGTCCATTACTGTTATCATTGTTCTCATTTTCGGCACATTAAATGAGCAGAACAATGTTGAGCTTTATCTTTAGACCAAATTCATAAGTATCACTTACCTAAAATCAAAGGACATGCAAAATAAAGTTTTGAGTGCAATTAACCATGTTTGATTTTAGTTAATAAGTCTGCAGTATCCTCCCATGCCTTGCTACAAATTACCATTTGAAGAATTTCTGTGTCCCACCCTATTTTCCAACAATTTAATTCTGGCTGGTTGAACAAAGATGCAGAGATAACAAGGTGTAGAGCTGGATGAACACAGCAGACCAAGCAG